ATGGTAACTGTAAATTAGAGGATTGGAGGAATAAATGTGTAATGAATACATCCAACAGAAGTCATTGCAGAACATAAGAAAGTCACTTACTTAGATTCATTTCACAAACCACAGCAGCTGCTACCAGAGAACCAGCAGATGAGCCAAGGATGCTCGGTGCGCAGTGTACTATCCAGGGTGCATAATGCAGGAAGCACTGGGCGACGCCTAACTGGTAGGTGGCCAGGAACCCTGATCCAGAAAAGGAGATGGACCGAGGATTTTCAGTGTACTGACAACTGGAAACTCCAGGGGTCATTTTCCAAGGTTTTTCAATGATCTGTTTAAATATTGTAAATGGAGAAAAACTTCTTTTTTTTTAAATGGAGAACAAGCTAAGGCGATGAACTATCCACTCAGATCTTGGGAGAGCGTTTCACAGTCAGTGTTTTTAAATCCATTGCGATTAGACATAGCATGTTGGTCATGCTCATGTGAACAGGGGTAAAATAAGGATTTCTAATGTTGGGAGGTTGTGTAGCTCCATGGTTGCAATGCATGAACCAAAATACTTTCACACTATTTGAATAAAAACACTTTAAACAAGATGAGAGAAGGTGGAAAGTTTCACTGAGTGCACATAAACTGATAAACTACCAGCTGTTGCAAATAAAACGCTTCTGCGATACATTCTTCTGTTTATCAGTATCATGTATAGGAGTGATAGTCAATATTTAATTTATAATTAGTTGACTGATATTTCTGGAGACTAATGGGACTGTTAGTGTCTAAGATTAAAACACTCATTTTGTCGAGTTGTGAGCTTTACTTCAGTCGTGTTGTTAATGTGGTGAGCTTTCTAAAGTTGGAAACAGTGATTTAGCATCACCTCCTGTAGCAATTACTGACTTCCGCCTGATCTTTACGTCATGCAGGGTTGCCTGTTGGACACAGGAGTCACATGAGATGTCTGACTCCTGACAGATAATGTTACTATTGTCTGCAAGTAGGCGACGCTTGACTTTCTTAAAATTAAATTAATTTGGTGTACGTGTGTTGGTAACCTCATTAAGCATTACACACCAATAATAAATTAGCTTTTCTAACTTTCTTAACTTTACTTCACTTGGTACTTTACATGCATTTTTTAAGCAAAGCTGACTTATTTTTGCAGTGTTGGATATTAGAGGAGACATTGATGTAATGTAAGCTGCTCTGGTATTTGGCTCAAACCATGCCAGCTACCTAGTTTCAAATGAACTTAATCTTAATGTAACAGATGCAGCTTTTATACTATTTGGATAAAATCGACATGTTGAATGAGTAAATTATCGAACTGATTTGCATTCAGGTGGGAACAAAAAAAGCTGAAATGTCAGTTTACAGTCTATTCCTACGTCTGTGCTGCCACCTGTCTGATCTGTTTAATTAACATCAAACTGACAAAGTGGAGATGGATATGTAAGCCTGTGAAACACTCTACACAAGCCTCTATTTTACGAATTCTACAGCTCCAGCTGAACAGTTATTATACCTAATAGGTCAAAATGTTTTTAGGCCCATAACTGTAAAAACTGCATTGTCAAAGATGGGTGAAAGATGAGCATCCACAGATGACGAGTAAATCAGCCATGGCTCAGCCAGTCTTATAACATGTGGTGACTTTTTGTCTTTTCCTTAAAACTAAAAATATTCAAAAACTGAACCACTGTAGGAAATACGAGTATTTGAATCATTGAATTGTAAATCCTATTAAATTAACAACAGCACCCCCTGCTGGTAAAATTCAGACCATTCAACTGTCATGAGGGAATATTGCAATTGTTTAACAACGATCTATTTCTGGCCTGACGTTTGGCTTCATCTCAGAAAAACATTTATATGAAATGTTTTATCAACATATATAATTGGGATAGCTCAGTAGGTAGAGTGGTTGCCCCATGATCGGAAGGTCGGGGGTTCGAATCCACTGAACGGCTCCCCTGAGGTGCCCCTGAGCGAGGTACCGTCCCTACACGCTGCCCAATGGCTGCCCACTGCTTCACTGAGTGAGTGGGTTAAATGCAGAGAGACATTTCCCCTCAGGGATCAATAAAGTACACATCAAAATATTTATTTTTCCAAAGCAAGTTCAATGCAAACTTTTCACACACACACACAATGAAACACCAAATTCTTAACCTACGGGTAGAAAAAGCTGCTTCCACCACTGAAAAAAATAACAATTTGTAAAAATCCCATTCTGAGCTACGCTGGAGATTTCACGGTGTTACTACTTAAGCTGAAACTTTCAGATACCGTACCAAAATGGGAGATAATAACCTGACATTTTGACTTATTGATGGCAATTTTTTTCTAGTGGTGGAAACAATCTTGCATATTAACCAGCATTCAAAACTAAAACAGTTATTTATCCTCTCGTATGTATCCTTTCTGTTATTAAACTCTTATTAACCTGTTATTGGACTGTAGTCATAGCTGCAAGACCTGTAAAGTTTATGAAAATAACTCTGTTATGTGATTATATTGAACAAAGCAGATAATTTTAAGTCTTGAATATTATTTTGCTGGCTGGATAATTCTGTGATTAATTTCACAGTTTCCCTCACTCTTAATATTAGTGTTTACCCAGATCACAGTTATACACACATTGATTCAGAGAAAATAAAAATAATCTCACAGTAAACAACACAACTGTGTTTTTTCAGACTGTACATGCATTTTTTTCCTGAAAGCTCAAACCACGAGATAAATATATTACAACCTCCCATTTTATTCGGTAAGAGCCGTGTTGCTACACATGGTTTTATTCTATCTCACTGGTGCACCAGTCGGAGGAGGCTGTGGAGACGTCCGATCAGGGGAAACCTCAAAATGGTCTTCAGAGAACTCTTGTGTAGGACTGGAGTCCGGGAAGTCGCCATTGTGAGGTGGAGTTTGCTCCAGGGAGCCGGAAGCCTCGACCTGCTGTTTCCTGATATCTTGAGGGAGTTTCAGAAACCTGAAGGGAGGCGACGAACAGGCAGGAAGGATGAGTTCGAATGTTATTTAAGAGGAAAATAGAAAGCGGATGACAAAGAAAGGAGTAGAGACGAGACCTGAAAAGGAGTTTTTGTCCTCTTTCTTTTTTGATAATGTTCAGTTTGTAGTAATGCCGTAAAGCCCGGGACATTTTCTCATAGGTCATATTTTCTCGGTTCTGTAAAAAGAGATCATTAGTCATGCACTACATTATTCACTATTCCCCAGTGTTCCTGCTTTTTTCTGCTTTGTTTTATTCTCCACCTGTGTAGCCGTTTTTCCTGATGGGAACTCACCTTGTGGTTTCCCCAGAGCCGTGCCAATCCATTGGGGTCCACCACCCTGAAAACCAAGCTGTCCGGATCTTCCCATCGAATGTATTCTTGGTAACGATCATCACAAAGCAACTGATACACATAGTCCCACAGCAGCCTGCACTCTGGCCATGATTAAAAGAGTAATCACACACATGTTGGCAAAACTTACACTACTGTCACTAAATACACGTATTTAAAGTTCAATTCAGTACTATTTAGTATATTTCTCACTCTCAGTGTTCCAATAAACACGTATATAAATGGTGTGGTCACAAGTGTACATGCACTAATCATGTGGATGAATGCCGTGGTCATTTACATCTTTTAATGATTTATTTGACCTGTTCTTTTAGTACATCTTTAACGACTTTAGAAAACAAGAACTAGGTACACAAGTTTATATTTGTTTTAGATTCTCTCTAATCCACACAGGGTCAACAGTATATATACACAGGCTCACTAATATATAGTTGAATGTCCTACAGCAAGATGCATTTAGTAGCCATCAACAAGCCACTTACCGTTCGTCTTGGCAGAAATGGTCAAATTCATGTAAATTGGTTGGTGCCCAGGTTTTAAGAGTAGTTGTACTGTTCGAATACTTACACACACTTGCTGATAATATTGGAATCTGGAGTTGTTTAGAAATTTCAAGAGACCTTCTGAAGTTCTGAAATTCTATCTGTGTTCTTTCTTTTTTATTATTTTGATAAAGAGAAATGACCAGTTGTAGTTAAACAACACTGCAGGACTTTCATCACCACTTATTAAGAGATTTCGATGAATGTATGTATACTTTTCTCCCTGTGTGGATCAGAGAAAGTCATTAACGATGCATGTTGTACAATCATTCACCCGGACAAAGAACCGTTCAAAGAAAACCATTAAAAGCCTCAAATGACCACGACATTCACGCCCATGATGAGGAAACTTCTCAGCACAAGTTCACCTGTAAGCTGACATTAACATATCATTTTGAGCCGTCATTTAGATATAACAAAAGAATAAAATAGCCAACTATTGAATATTTAAAGCGCAGGTCCACTTTTGGGTTATTGCTTCAGGATGTTGTGTCTGTTTTGCTCTTTGCCTCACAAACAAATCCAACGTGTTCGACTTAAGTTTGTTTCTAGGAAACTGAGTGTGTTCATGTTATTGGTGCATTTGCTGATAGTATATAAAATGCTGTTTATGATATATGACATTTTTTTTCTTCACTTTTTAAAGAGACACGGTTTTAACAATTCTGTGTGTTTTCTGTGATTAAATACAAATTTGTAACAATCAATACATGATTGTTACATATTATTGTAACAATACCTGGGATGCGACCGTTTGCCTTGTGCAGCGGACTCCTCGGCTTATCTCGGCTGGAGAGGTTCAGAGGCTCTGGGGTGACGTTCTTTGTTTGGGGATTACACTCATCCTGATTGTGGTGCAATGTTGAGGCACCCGCTGCTCCGTCTAAGAGACACGGACACAGAATGCGACAAAGAGAAAGGCACAGAAATGAAGCCTCTGCAACAGTCGGAATTGCAGGACAATTTACTTCTGCTGTGGCCATTTGTCATACTCACTCTTTTGTGTGAGTGGTGCAGACAAAGTGTAACAGACGGGGCGATCTGTGAGGGCTGACACTGATTTTGGCGGGCTGCTTACAGCGGCCCCGACAGCAGCCAGCAC